TTCTAACATATATTGAAAATATTTCTCCAAGATTCTCGAAAACTCGAAGATTTCAAAATTCTCAAGGTGGGAAATATATATCCCACTGGGCCTCAAAGGGTTAAAGTTCTCTGATGAGTGCTGACACCATACCGAATAAAACACTTGTTTGTGGTTATTGTACCACATACTATGTGTCTGTGCTTTCAAAAATAATGATCGACATATTTTGTTTCTTTTTTCTGCTTGCGAAAATCTGCATGTGATTTATTTTTTAATAGATTTGGCACTTCTATTCAAATTAGTCAGCCGAATACCAAATGCAACTGATAAATTGAAAGAAATTGTTGAAGTTCACATCAACCAAATGGGTATTGATGCTATCAAACAAATTAGTGATATTGCATTTAACGTAAAATAAAGTTTTGCGTTCTATCTTATGATTATATTTACATTTTTTTCTTTGATCAGAATCCAAAAACATATGTTGAAACAATTCTTGATATTTATACGAAATTCTTCAAACTTGTAAAAGAAGCTTTTAATAGTGAACAAGGTTTTACTGCTGCTCTTGATAAAGTAACTTGATTTTTTTTGTCTTTATCTCATGTCTTGTCTATTGTTATCTTATGTGTGTGCATGTGTATTTTAGGCTTGTGCTAAATTTATTAATAATAATGCAGTAACAACAGCAGCTGGTAATACAAAAAAATCACCTGAATTATTAGCTCAATATTGTAATGTCCTTCTACGAAAAGGGTTTGTCAAAATTTTTGAGATTAATTATTGAAATATAATCAATTTAAATTTATAGAAATATAGCTGGAGAAGAGCCTGATTTCGAAGAGAAACTCAATCAAATTATGGTATTATTTTCTATTTAATTATTCTCTTCTGTTTTAATTGTTTATTTTCTTTTTCAGGTGGTTTTTAATTATGTTGAAAATAAAGATGTATTTTTAAAATTTTATCGCAAAATGTTTGCCAAACGTTTAGTAGATCAATTATGTGCATCCGATGATTATGAAGAATCAATGATATCAAAATTAAAAGTAACTATCATATATTCGTAATTGTAACAAATCTATATTTTAATATCTATTATAGCTAGCATGTGGTTTTGATTATACATCGGAATTACAACAAATGTTTCAAGATATTCGTATTAGTAAAAGTTTAACTGATCAATATCAAACATATTGTGAAAGAAATAATTTTCATGATATTGGTAGATAACAATCAAATTTATTTTTTCTATTCAAATTTGTATCTGATATGATTGCTTGGTGTTTTTTTGTTTAGTTGATTTTTCTGTAATGGTACTCAAGACAAATTCATGGCCATTTTCTGCGCCACGAAATTTTGTCCTACCAATTGAAGTAAGATTTAGTTTTGTTACTATTTTTCAATCATATTTATTAAAATTTTCTTTCAGCTTAAAAAACCATTTGAAAGTTTTACTACATTCTATACTCAGCAACATAATGGTCGTAAGTTGATATTACTTCATCAACATTCAAAAGGAGATTTACAAACATTGTATACCGAACAAAAATATACTTTACATGTATGTATTGATTTATTCTATAGAATGAATGACTTCTTTCTATTTTTGAAATATCAAAGGTATCAACATATGAAATGGTAATCTTGCTTTTATTTAATAAACGTCCAAGTTGGACTGTTGAACGAATGCAAGATGAAACACAAATCGATGTACATTTATTCTGGCAAGTTCTTTGTAATTTATTGAAAAGTAAATTGATTACATGCCCAGAAATTAATAATAATGAACTTGAAGAAGATTTAAATGAAAAAAATGATATTAAAATGAATTATAATATTCAGATAGCAAATAATTTTAAAAGGTCAGTATGTTTTAGTAATCATCTGATTATGAGTTTATAAGAAAATTGTCAAGAATTTTCGGTTTTTGATAATAAGCTCCAAAGAACGTTGTAATTTTGGTAGTACGATAAAATATCTCGTATCATCGAGGTGACTAGTCGATTTTGATTAGAAAGTTTCATTGAGATTATCAAAGTAGGGTTCAATCGGATCTGAAAATTTTGAACCCGATGAGCTCAACAGTCAGGTGATAAATGACATAATAATGAATGGGTAAGAATTCGTTCATGTCTTGGAGTAGTATCATGACTAAGAAACTGAGAACTACAGTATGAAGAATAATGCAAAAAATCAATAGTATTTCGGTGCTTCACATATTATGTTTTTATAATTTCTTAGCTTGAATATTATCATTCGATCTCTTTTTTTTTTATACCATATTTTTCATGTATAATGTTTACAGATAATTATTCGTTCGACAGAAATCGAAGTTTTTATATATCACTAAAAGTTCTTTCAAAAATCAAATTTGTTGATTACTCATTCAGAGTATCCATTGTAATATATAGTTTCATTCTATTATCAACCATTACAAACAAAACTTTTCTTCTTGTATCAGAACTAAATTAGTTCGAAGTTCTGTAATTCTAATTATTTAATTATACATGTATATAGTGAATGGGCCATAATAAATCGAACTAATGTACTTCAATTTAACAAAACAAATTCTTTCTAATTTTGAAGCAACCAACACGTTGAGGTACACTGTATAATCTGTACTGCAAAACAAAAAACAAATGAGAAAAAAAAGTGTAAAATCTTTACTAAGATATTCACTTTTTTCCTAAAAAACGAAAATATGTAGAGAACGAAATTTCGCATTTCTTTGTTTCTAAATCAGGACTTTATAACTGATGATGAAACTTCTCGAAGTAATTCAAAGCTTTTGATCTGATATTTAGCCCACGAGTAAAATCAACTGAGACTAGAAGGTATCTAAAAAAAAAATAAGGACTCCATATGGTTTCCTTCTGAAATTATAACTCTTTTACTAGGTTTCGCTCTATGTAAGATATTTAAGTTCTCTTGTGAATTTTATCTCGCGAGAAAACTTCATTGTTTCAGCAAATCATCATGAATAATATTTATTTTCAAGTCCTCACTAAAACTTGGATATCGAAAAAGGGATCACTCAAATAAAGGAAAAATCTCTATGTTTTGATATAAAGTTCTTTGCTTTCGAGATCTTCTATACTTTCGGAAACCACGAACAACAATGTCTGACAGTTGCAATATGAAGAATATATAAATGTTTCGATTGTTATGCAAAGGTTAAAAGTTCTTAGCTTTATAAAACGTGAAATCCTATCTTTTGGTATATAAATAAATATTCTCTATGAATCTAAATGAGAGGAAATTTCTATTTACATTTGATCTAATTCATTATGAACCATCTACAAAGTTACATGATTGTTGAATAGTAATTATATAGAAACTAACGAAGCTACGTTAGATCAAATATTTTATCTTACAAAATTCCAAATGATGTGTGTAGATCCAAATTCTAATACATGAAACTGTAGAACATTGAATTTTGTGCATCTGGAATTATCTTCAATGAATCCTACTAAGTCAGAAGATGATAATTAAAGTATAAACAATATGACTAGAAGTTCAATCTGTATCTAAAGATTCATTATTAGAAAATTCTCAACTTTTCTTTTTATTTCTTTTTTAGTAAAAAAGTAAAAATAAATTTGAATGTACCAATAAAATCAGTCGAACAAAAAGATATCGAAGGTTTATATAGAACAATTGATAAAGATCGAATAGGACTTATTCGGGCTGCACTTGTTCGAACAATGAAATCTCGGCAAACTTTAAAACATTCATTACTAATGCAAGAAGTTATTCATCAATTAAGTTCTCGCTTTAAACTCCAAATACCTGTGATTAAAGTAAATTTTATTCTTATTCTATTAAAAAAATTAATTGAAATTTTTTTTCTTTTTATGACAGAAATGTATTGAAAAATTAATTGAAGAAAAATATTTTGAACGTCAATCAAATGAAAATGATATGCTGAATTATTTGGCTTAAGATAAATAATCAAATCTTTTATATGAAAAATACATAGAAACATTTAATTTTGATCGATTATTTATTCATGAAAATATCCACTAATAAAATGATAAAATCAAAAAAAAATGAAAAACCTGGTACCGTTTAAAATTAAAATGAAATTTTTCAACGTCTTTTTTCTTTCTTCGCCTATGACAACAAGATCCTTCGTATTTTTTTCCAGTTCTCTATTTTTTTTTTTTCTTTTTTTATTCATCGGTCTGGTTTACATAGTCAATATTTCAGCAACTATTCATCTCATCAACATTGTCTCATTGTTCATAGTCGCCAAGAAAATACAATTTGTATCATAGAAATACATTTATATTCATCCTATAGCCAGTTCAAATGTACATATTCCTCATTTCCTATCCAAGACAACGTTATTTCTCTTGTTTATTTCTATTTCACCATATATTTGGTATGAAATAACCTAGAAATATTTATATAAACATAAAATATCATTCGATGACAGTATCAATGGTCTTCTTTGGAAGATCGTTCCCCTATCTAATGGGTGGGTCGAAAGTTTCAAGACAAAATATGTCTTCACTTTAACATCGATTAAAATGGTCAGTAGAAATTATAATATATTGATTTTAAATCAAAATTTTGTACTTATTCTGAATCTATGCTCGGAATTTTTGTGAGACTCATACCTTACGAATAATGAATGAACTTTTGAAAGACATGAAAATAAAGTTTGAATGGAGATAGTTGCACTAACATATTCATAGACAGAGAATATGACCGAATCTCATTTGAAATTGTAGGTGTGGATATGTAAAAGAGAACACCCACGCCGTTTTTGATGATTGAAATAGTTTTAGTTTACAATTTTGTTTTTCCATAATTTAACAACATAATTCTCGAATTTACGTATGACTTGGACTGCAACTAATGATTAAAATCTTAGAATGCAAACGATAGAGATTTTATATTCTGCCTAGTGTATATCATATGTTGAAGAAGTATATGCTATGTTAACATCTATATATGTCACTCTATGTCATGAACCCGGTTATACTTTGTTATTGGTTAATCCTGTTTGATTTTTCGCCTTTGATCTGCTCATTCCGCTGTTTATTCTCTTCGTTGCAGTTAAAATTTTATTTTTATTAAATTCTGATTATTATTGATCATCTGTTTGGTTTACATAAAACATTTTATAACAACTAGTTTAATTAACTTTATTCATATATATATATTATAACGATAAGACACAGTAAGCAATTTTATGTGAGTTCTCTTATATTTGCGTAGACTAGAATCCATAGTTTTATTATTATTTAACCTATATTACTTACGCAATACACATAGACTGAAGTCTCTGATACATCTTCGTAAGGAGTCTCAGAAATATCCACAGATAAGCTCCAGTCTACAGCACAAAATGCTTACTGTCGATCTCTTAAATATTAATTTTTTGGGCGAAAAGAAACCGATAAAAGTAGGAGATATGTTACCAGGTGACCGAATAAAATAGTGGGAATTTTTTCATCCAACTTGGAAAGTTAATGTTGTATTTGTTTTTCTTTTCGATTGTAGACCTGACTAAAAAATAATAACTTGTTCATTCCTTACTATTTTTAATTTGTACATAAGGAACTGTGTGCTGTGATAGTCATAGGAACAAAGCAATAGCTAAGTTGCACTATTTAATATGATCGAAAAAAAAAAAGATACAGAAAGAAAGGCTCCCAATCATCACATGTAGTGCGATTTTTGCTTGGAAATTTATTTGTTTCATATTCTTGATGTTTGATCGAAAATAATACTCATCTATCCAATAGTTAGACAATCTAGGGATCTAATGTATTGGTTTTGTCATGAAATATGATGTTTCGTCTATGATTTGCTGTATTGAATACTTCACTCACAGGCGGTGTGGGTGATATAAGTTGATTATGCACTTTTAGGGAGCACTTGTTTTTTATTTACTGTGTTCTCATATCGCATCCCAAGTCAACCCGAACGCTATTGGTACGCGTGTCGTCACTCTTGGTACGCGTATGGTACAACACGCCTCGTACGCGTACGAACATCACGCAAAATGCGCGTACCGAGCGTGACGAACACG